GCAGCCGCGCAACCAGGGTGGTCGCAGCGGCGGCGGCGGAGGCCGTGGAGCGGGTGGCGGTGGTGGTGGTGGAGGCCGTGGTGGTGGCGGTGGTGGTAGTGGTGGCCGTGGTGGCCGTGGTGGCGGTGGTGGTGGTGCTGGCAGCGCCCCTGCTGGAGGTGCTGTGACTCGAGGCGGACGCCCTGGCACTCTCCCCCCATGCACATATGTGCGTCGCCATGGTCCCCATGCAGGTACCCCTTGCGGCCAGACCAACCATCCCCCCACCACATGCTTTAAGGCACTCGACGACGCCTGGTTTGATCGCGGCAACACTGGCACCCCTCCTCGCTGGAACTCGGTCACACCTCGCCCCTCCTTAGTGGACATTCAAACCCTCCCCTCTTTCCTTCCTGCTCACCTCCGCATGGTTACCCCCTCCCCACCCTCACAGCTGCAGCAGTTTCAGCAGCACCAGCAGCAGCAGCACCTGTACTTCCACCAGCAGCAGCAGCAGCCGCAGTTTCTCCAGCCACAGCAGCCGCCGCCGCCGCAGTTCTTCCAGCCACCGCCGCAGCAGCAGCAGCAGTTCCTTCCCCCACCCTGGCAGCAGCAGCCACTCACCTTCGGCACAGCGGCCATGGCCGCTCATACCTCCCTTCCTCCTCCTCCCCCCTGGGGTTCCCTCCCCTCTGCCCCCCCCAGTGTTCCCGACACTTCTGGTAGTTTCCTTGGTAATATCAGTGTTGCACCGTCCGTCGCTGCCATGTATCCCTCTGCTATCAATGAGACTTCGTTTCAGTACCCCGTCCCACCCCCTCCTCCCTCTTCTCCCACCCTGGACTTTGTCCTTGACAGTGGAGCCACTGAAACCGCACTGAAAGACGCTGGCACTCTCACCCCACTACCACTTCCCACTCAGGTTCATGGGGCTGATTCCAGCTTTTCCATTCCATGCACTCACCTCTCCACCCTCCCTTGCACTGCCTTCCCCTCCGGTAAGGTCACAGGTCTCCACATCCCCACTCTCCGCAACAACCTCCTCTCCCACCGTGAGCTCCAAGGTGTTGGTATCACTGCCATTTACCCCGGTTATGCCAATTACTGTGATCTCTACCAAACCTCCTCCGGTCGCTTCCTTCTCCGCATTCCGCTTTGCCCCCGCACTCGCCTCTACACACTCCGCACGCCTCGCCCATCCTTCTGCCACGTCACCACTCGTTCCGGTGCTTCCACCGGTCCACCTCCTCCTCCTTTACTTCCCCCTTCCCCTCCCCCTCAAGTATCCTCTTCTCCCTCCCCACCATCCTCCTCCTCCCCTCCCGTTCCTTCCATCACCCCATCTCCCTCCTCCTCCACTACCCTCTCCCACCCTGCTGTCCTCTTACACCACAGACTCGGCCATCCCAACTTCACCGCCCTTCGCACCACAGTCACCTCTCGCCTCCTCCGCAGCCTTCCTCCTGTTTTACCTCCCCTCCCCTCCTCCCCCTCTCCCCCATGCCCTTCATGCATTCACGGCAAGCTCAAACAGTCCCCCCACCACAGTCATCCCACCTTCGCCGCCGCCCCCATTGACCTTGTGCACATGGACCTCTGGGGCCCCTATCCCATCCGCTCCCGCCAGGGGCATCGGTACATGCTCGTCCTCGTTGACGACCACAGCCAGTACTCCACCACCTTCTTCCTTCACACGAAAGACCAGGTGCCGGCAGTGGTCATCAACTGGGCCGAACAGTGCCGCAATCACTTCAAACGCCCCATCGGCCGCCTTCACTCTGACGGTGGGGGTGAGTTCATCAATAACACCCTTGCCACATACTGCAACACCTACGGCATCCACCAGACCTCCACCCTTCCCCACTCCCCTCAGCAGAACGGCATTGCTGAGAGCCGCATTCGTGAGATCACCAAGATAGCTCGCTGTCTCATTGCTCATGCCTCCACCCCTCCTTCCCTCTGGAGCTATGCCCTCCTCCACGCCGCTCTTCTCCTTAATCTCCGCTCCCACCCTCAGCATCCTTCCTCCTCCCCTACAGAGCTTTGGTCCAACGCCAAACCCGACGCTGCCGGCCTTCGCGTTTGGGGCTGCAAGGCCTTCGTTCTCATCCCACCCGCCGATCGCTCCCGCGCCGCTGGCAAGCTTGCTCCTCGCGTTTACCTTGGGCACAATCGCGACTCCTCAGGCTACCTCTTCCTCCACCCTCCCACCAATCGCCTCATCCGCAGCGGCGACGTCGTCTTCGACGAATCCGTCCCCTATTACTCCACTCCTCCCCCTGATCCTTTCCCTCCTCCCACTCGTCCCCTTGCTTGGACCGACACCGTCCTCCCGCCCCTTCTCCCTCCAGCCCCTCTCCTCCCACCCGTCGCAGCTCCGCTCCCGCCCTCCTCCTCCGCCGATGTCTACGACCCTGCCGCACCCGCTTCCCCCGCTCACTCGGCCGCACCCCCTCCCCCCCCTCCCTCCTCCTCTCCCTCTCCCTCCTTCCAGCAGCCGGATCAGCAGCAGCAGCAGCAGCAGCAGCCGCAGCAGCAACAGCAGCAGCAGCAGCAGCCGGGACAGCAGCCGGGGCAGCAGCAGCAGCAGCAGCCGGGCCAGCAGCAGCAGCAGCAGCAGCAGCAGCCGGGCCAGCAGCAGCAGCAGCAGCGGCAGCCGGGACAGCAGCAGCAGCAGCAGCAGCAGCAGCAGCGGCAGCAGCAGCAGCAGCAGCCTCAGCAGCCTCAGCAGCCGCAGCACCAGCACGGTCAGCCGCAGCCGCAGCAACAAGGGCAGCAGCTTCCGCAGCACCAGCAGCAGCAGCGGCGTCGTGCCACTTCCCGTTCCTCCCCCTTCCTCCTCCCTTACATCCATACCCGCTCTGTGGACAAAATCCTTGGGGCTCCTCCTCCTGCCTCCATTCAGCTCCTTGAGGACTCCCATGAGGAGTTTCTTAACATTCGGGAGCACACTCCATTCCTTGCCGCCCTCTACCTTGACTTCCTGGGCTTTCCTGTCCTTGGCGCCACTACTACCCCCACCATCTTCACTCCCTCCACCTTCCAGGAAGCCATCACCTGCCCTGATGCGGATAAATGGATAGCAGCGATCTTCCTGGAGTGTGAGGCTTTCATTCGCAACGACTCCTTTGTCGATGTCCCCCTCCCTGCTGGCGCTAATCTCGTTGACGGCAAATGGGTCTTTCGGGTGAAGCAGCTGCCGGGCGAGGAACCAGTGTACAAGGCCCGCTACTGCGCCAAGGGGTTCACGCAGACTTGGGCTGAGGACTACTGGTTCACCTACGCCCCCACCGCCAAACCACCCACCCTTCGCGCCGCCATGGACATTGGTGCACGTGACGACATGGAAATCGACTCCATGGACGTCTCCAATGCGTTCCTGCAGGGCGACCTGCATGAGCGCATTTTCCTCCGGCGACCCCCCGGGTTCCACGCAGCCTTTCCTGAGAACACTGTCTGGCAGCTGCGTCGCCCCGTCTACGGCTTGAAGCAGGCACCGCGTGAGTGGCATGCGAAGCTGGCTGCCACCTTGGGGTCCCTCGGCTTCTCTGCTTCCCACTCCGACGCCAGCCTCTTCATCCGCTCCTCCCCCCGCCGCTTCTTCATTCTGGTATATGTCGACGACATGATCCTGCTCTCTGACACCAAGGCCGACATGGGGCAGGTGAAGCTGTCCCTGCAGCAGCGGCTCAAGTGCAAAGACCTTGGCGCCCTCACTCACTACCTCGGCATGACCATCACGCGCAACCGCCCTGCTCGCACAATCACCCTCTCCCAGTCCCATTACATCGGCCAGGTCTTGGAGAAGTTCGACATGGCGCAAGCCAAGCCTGTTTCCACCCCGCTCCCCTTCGGTCACCAACTCGCTCCACCCACCTCCCCCACCTCCTCCCCCCACCCCTATGCCGAGCTCGTTGGGTCCTTGATGTACGCAATGATGTGCACCCGCCCCGACCTCGCCTACCCCATCAGCGTGCTCGCTCGCTTTGTCGGCACCGGTCGTCACTCTGAGGAGCACTGGAAAGCTGCCAAGCGGGTCCTCCGCTACCTTCGCGGGACCAGGGACCTTGCCCTCACCCTCGGCGGCCCTTCCCGTCCCCTTCTCTCGGGCTTCAGTGACTCCTCATGGGCTGACACGCAGCCGGACCGCCGCTCCTCCCAGGGCTACGGCTTCACCCTTGGCAGCGGCCTCATCAGCTGGCGCTCCACCCGCTCCTCCGCCATCTCTCTCTCCACCTGCGAAGCCGAGCTCTACGCTGGCACCATGGCCGCCCAGGAGTCGCGCTGGCTCTGCTTCCTTCTTGCGGAGCTTGGCGCCCCCCAGACGTGCCCCACTCTCTGGTGCGACAACGCCAGCACCATCCATCTCACTCAGGACCCCGTCTATCACGCCCGCTCCAAGCACATCGAACTCCGCTACTTCTTCGTTCGCGAGCTCGTCCAGAAGGGCCTCATTGCCGTTCGCAAGATTGCAACCGAGGCCAACTTGGCCGACATCTTCACTAAGGCCCTCCTTCGCCCCGCGCACTCTGCCTTCCTCCGCCTCATTGGCCTTGCTCGCCCGGGCGCCCCTTGATTCAGGGGTTGTTCTCTTCTTGTGTTAGCATGCTAAGGGATTGTGTTAAAATATATATTGTGTAGCATGCCAACACATGTGACTGTACACCAATTGTGGTGTACAGTTGGGTTGGGACTACACCCAACTTTGGGTGTAGTCTTGCACTTTGGGGTGCCAATCCACCCAATTGTGGTGGAGCCCCCAAATGCAACCCTCTTGACTTGTGGGTACCTCACTTCCCACAATTGAGGTTACCCCAAGCCAAGTGGGCCTAGGGTTGCCTCACTTCTACAAAGTGTGGGCAACCCAACCCACTTGACCTATGGTTCCCTCACTTCCCCAAGTGAGGTCAACCCAACCTATGGTCACTTTCATCCTTCCCTTCCAACCTTCCCTTCCAACTATGTATGCTAGGTTGTTCCTCTAATCAAATTACTTGTTCAATTCACAATCTTCACAAAGGTCACTGCCTTGAGGAGGGGAGTAGGAAGACGGATGGCATGCATTGATTGGTGGAGAGGTGTGCCGAGAAGCTGCGTTAGGGTAGACGCGGAGGTTGGTGCAAAGAGATGGAGGAGGGAGGAGCATGTATCAGTCTGATGGTGGGTTAAACACATGTTGTACAGAAGAAGACTTTTGCAGCACCGTTCTACAAACACTTGCACACGCAATGGTTTCATGCGTAGATAGAGTACATGTGCTACAAATTGGTCGGTCCTAACCGGTACTAATTGGTACTAAACAGTGGCAGCAAACGCACATATATGCGAGGAATGGGAACACTCTGCTGCTGCTGGTTAGGGGCTGTTGCAAACTGCTCGACCCAGCTGATCTGAGGTCGGACGAGGAGAGGAGACGCAAAGGGTGTTGAAAGATGGTGATCAAGGGTGCTGAGATGAGAAGCGTCAAGGATGAATCAGAAACAGTGCTCCACAATCTCAGAAATCAAAAGGTGGAAAAGAGGAGGAGAACGGTGAGAAGCAAAGAGGAAGGGGACGTGCGTTGGACTTGAATGGGAGTCTGATGTGATGTGTGTTGACATGGTGCGGTGGTGACATGATGGTGGATTGGCATGGATGGCATGGCATAGGATGGGACATGACAATGTGTACTCCCGCGATGGCATGTTCGCATGATGCTTGGGTTGGTAAGACGGGGTGTGTTGACAAGATGGGTGTGTTGACATGCGTTGGCATGTGTTGGCATGATGAGTGTGTTGGTGTTGGCACGTGTTCAAACGTGTTGGCAAGTGTTGGCAAGTGTTGGCATGTGTTGGCATGTTGGCATGTGATGGCATGTGTTGGCAAGTGTTGGCATGTGTTGGCATGTGATGGCAAGTGTTGGCATGTGTTGGCATGGTGTTGGAATGGAACTTACTGCCCTTGGCTGACATAGAAGAAGTTGGGAGGAATCCTGCCTCTGAATCGGTTGCCACTCAATGAGCTGGCCTCAATCATCATTCGCTCCTCACTCCCCAGCACGCGCAAGTTGCAAATGCACTCACACACACACACACACACACACACACACACACGAATATAGGGAGCTGAAGTAACCGATGTGAGAGCGAACACAGGATGACAAAAGCAACCAGGAAAACGCCTGAACCCGAACCTACACTCGAGTAAACTCACTCAGAGCCTAGAAAGAACACAGTACGCCAGACACGCAGAGCCAGGCGTTTAAGAATATATGGTTGCATGCCAGGCGATTTTTTACTGTACATCAATTGTGGTGTACAGTTGAGTTAGGCATGCAACTCACCTTGGGTGTACCATTGTGATTGTGTTTGGAGGGTGCCAACCCCCACTTTTGCTGTGGAACCCCCAAACACAAGATAGGTTGTGATTGGTGCCTAAACCATCATGGTCCTTAGTTGGTAATTTCAACCACAATTAGAGTCCAATGATAGTTGCTTCTTCCAACCACCACTGTGACTCCAATCCAACCACCTCCTTCCCTTCCATCCCTCCCTTCCATCCCTCCCTTCCATGATCCATCCTATGTATGTATGCCCTTGCTTTTCTTAATCGAAGCAATCGTTTGCCTTTCAACAGAGGATATATGGCGGACTGACATGCTCCCAAGCGAAGACCCGAAAACAGTACGTAAAGGTCCCTCTAGCCTGTTGCCATCCAGGTTCCTACACAGTGCACAGGAGCAGAGCAGCGACAACAAAAGAGAGGGGAGATGGACAGGGAGCAGCTGTATGGGGAACGGATGGGGACTGGATGGGGCATAAGGTGCTTGAGGTAGGTACAAGGCGGGAGAATGGATGAGGAGGAGGAGGAGGAGGAGGAGGAGGAGGAGGAGGAGGAGGAGGAGGAGGAGGAGGAGGAGGAGGAGGAGGAGGAGGAGGAGGAGGAGGAGGAGGAGGAAAGGGAGGGGGAGGAGGAGGAGGAGGAAAGGGAGGAGGAGTGGCTTACACGTCAGAAAGGTGTCTCAGGGAAGAGAGCGATTTTGGAACGCTTCCCTCCAACCGGTTGCTCCTCAAATCCCTTCAGCCAGGGTAGATGAGAAACGGACAGACGAACAATCATGGACTGATGAATAATTAGCGGAAGATGGAATAATGTACCGACAGATGGGTTCAGATGAGGTAAAAAGAGGTCGAATCAGGTCAGACAGTGTCCAATGGCGAATGTGGTGAGGTGAGTCCAACGGAGGCACCGAGGGAAGTGAGTGTGAGATCATGAAGTGCATGTGTGTGTGGGTAGATGGGGTGGGTAGGTTACAGAGTGTGGTGGAATGGAAACACACTGCGTGCGCGCACGGTGTGGAAGGGTAAGCATAAAGTGGAAAAGAGTAAGCACACAACAAGAGCGTGCATTGCAGTGTGGAAGAGGGAGGGAGGGAGGGAGGGAGGGAGGGAGGGAGGGAGGGAGGGAGGGAGGGAGGGAGGGAGGGAGGGAGGGAGGGAGGGAGGGAGGGAGGGAGGGAGGGAGGGAGGGAGGGGGGGAGGGAGGGAGGGAGGGAGGGAGGGAGGGAGGGAGGGAAGGATGGAGAGAGGGAGGAAAGAAGGAAGGGAGGGATGAAGGGAGGGAGGGAGGGAGGGAGGAAAGAAGGGAGGGAGGGAGGAAGGGAGGGATGGAGGGAGGAAAGAAGGGAGGGAGGGAGCGAGGGAGAGAGGAGGGGTGACTCTCACAGTGTGAGTAGCTGTAGAGGGAGTGGTGGAATCGATCCTGTCAGCTGATTGAAACCCAGGAGTCTGAGCACATGCCAGGACAATTGCATGATACGGCAGCAGCACCGGCACAACAAGCCAACCAGATGCGACGCACTACACATTTGAGGCGCCTCAAAAGTCGTCTCTCTACCCGCAAAAGTCGTCTTTTTACCCGCAAAAGACGCATGGGCATTGCCTTTTGAGTGCGCACAATACAGACAGAGCTGTGCGCGTGGCATGTGTGTGCGTGACACTCGTGAAAGCATGTTCAGGCACGTGCAGGCATGTTCAGGCACGTGCAGTATGTAGAGTTCTCACAGGTGATTCAAGGATTCCATTGCTGTGAGGTGAGAAGGAATGGATCCCGACAGCTCGTTGTTGTTCAACTCTCTGACACACAGCACCGCACAGCCCAGCACAGCACAGCACAGCATAGGATCCCACAAGGCCAGTGGAGAAGGGGAGAGAAAGCCAAGGGGTTGGGTAGGAAGAGGGGATAGAAGGTTTAGGCATACGCAGCTTGGCGCATGTGCTAGAGCTAGTACGTACGCAAGCATGAGCCAGCATGCAAGTGCGAGGCCCCTTGGTCCTGTCCTAATCAGCTCAACAAAAAACTGGTAGGGTGATTAGCCCAAGAACAATCAGCTATCCTGTAACAAAACTATTTCAGTATGCGAGCAGTACTACTAGCAGCAGTGTGGATGCATGTGTGAGTGAGTGCGCATGCATATGTGCGTACGCATGTACGGAAGGAACAGTGTTCTTTCTTACAGACTATATGCGCTCTGCATCACACTGAATTGAGAGGGAATGGGCCCTGATAGCTTGTTCTGGCCCAATCGACTGAGAATGACAAACATGCCACAGAACAACAAAGGGGAAAGGTTGACTTAAGAAGAAGAGGGGTGAGGGAGGAGGGGGCAGGGAGGAGAGGAGAGGCTTCCTGGGCATCAGCAGTTGAGAGCTTCGAAGGTCAATTTTGTATAGTCGACAGCAGGATAAAGCAGTTCGAGTAGGGAATTTTGCCTGTGTTCCCCCTTTCCCCTCCCCATCCGCAAACCAAAGTCGGATCTGAGCGACGTTCAGTTGAGCATTGAGCAGAATGGCACACAAGGGAGGGAAGAACAGGTCAGCAAGAGGCCAAGAATGAAAAGAGGTTCCGCGGCAGAGGGAGGCTCACTTTTGACTCTGACTCTGACTCTGACTCTGACTCTGACTCTGACTCTGCCTCTGCCTCTGACTCTGACTCTGACTCTGACTCTGACTCTGCCTCTGACTCTGACTCTGCCTCTGCCTCTGACTCTGCCTCTGACTCTGACTCTGACACTGACTCTGACTCTGACTCTGACTCTGACTCTGCCTCTGACTCTGACTCTGACCCTGACTCTGACTCTGACTCTGACTCTGACTCTGCCATCGTCACCACCTAAATCCTTTTGAGACGTTTCACAAGTCATTCTCACCTAGGTCCAGCCAGTCCAGTTGAGCCCTTAGGACGTGCTGGCACTCACAGGCTGCGTAAGTCTGTCATGCGGCTGATAGCAGCAGGGATGGGCCCAGTGAGGGAGTTGTTGCGCAAGTTCCTGCCCATGCATGCACAGAGCGCAGTCAAAGCAGCCAACCCACCCACCAAGCAAGCAAGCAAGCACGCACGCAAGCAAGCACGCATCCAGTGTGGCTTCAAATTGGGGACGAGTCCACTCCACAGGGAAGGCATGCAGGGCAGACACAGGGTTTTTCTTTCAAGTGCCTGAAAAAAGGCAGACATGAGCGAAAATCGAACCTGAACAGGTTCAATTCGAACCGTGTCAAACTTATTCTGAGATTTTGAGGTTTTACGTGTGTAACGAACGGAACTTTTTTTCGCTCATGTTCGGGCGAACCGAACAGGTGTTCGCCACCTTGCTCATCCCTAGTCTAGACCACTTCACAGGGCAAGCAGGGCAGGCAGGGCAAGCAGGGTAGGCAGGGCAAGCAGGGTAGGCAGGGCAAGCAGGGTAGGCAGGGCAAGCAGGGCAGGTAGGGCAAGCAGGGCAGGTAGGGCAAGCAGGGCAGGTAGGGCAAGCAGGGCAGGTAGGGCAAGCAGGGCAGGTAGGACAAGCAGGGCAGGTAGGGCAAGCAGGGCAAGCAGGGCAAGCAGGGCAAGCAGGGCAAGCAGGGCAAGCAGGGCAAGCAGGAGGCAGAGGGCATGTTGTTGTGGCAGAGGCAGAGAGGAGGCGGCAGGCAGCAGCTCGGGCCACTGTAGTAGCCATTTGAAAGACGAGGCACAGCACAGGCTGGGAGGTGGGTCTTCTTGTGGTGGTAGTGCTGCAGGGACGGGAGAGACGATAGACTAGTCTGTTGCTGCCACAAGAGATGACACGTGTCTGTGACTGGATGGATGGTACTGTGGTTCCTTTCGAGGACAAGGCAGGTGGAGGGAGAGTGGTGCTCGGGAAGGGAGAGTGGTGCAGGGGAAGGGAGGGTGGTGCAAGTAGGCATGATGAGCACCCCGCCCCGGCGGGTCGGGTCGACCCGACCCGACCCAGGTTTTGACCCGGGTCGGGTCAGGAGTTCTGAACTGCTAGGGATGAGCAAGGGGCGAACACGAACATGTTCGTGTTCGCCCCTACACGAACACATCCGTTTGCCGAACCGAACACTGTTCGGTTCGGCGAACACTTTAAGCAAAAACAGGTGTTCGCCGTTCGCCTGTGAAGGCGTGTTCGGGCGAACCTCGAACACGTTCGTGTTCGTCGCGGGGAAAATTGCAGCAGCGGCACGAACACGAACGTGTTCGGGCGAACCTCGAACACTGTTTGGCGAACACTTTAAGCAAAAAAACAAACCTGTTCGGTTCGCCTCGAACGTGTTCGGGGCGAACCGAACAGGTGTTCGCCCTTGTGCTCATGTCTATGAACCGCTGACCCGGCCGGGTCGGGTCGGGTATACCCGGCCGAGTCGGGTCGACTCGTGACCCGATTCCGGGTCGGGTCGGGTCGGGTCGGGTTTTGACCCGAATGAACCCGACCCGGTTTCAGGTACCGCGCCCTATGTCGGGTCGGGTATCTGGCCCGACCCGAGGGTTTCCTCTCGACAATGTTATCCAGATCGCAGTCGCACATGCTTGTTTTCCCAGCGACTAGCATTTCGACCTGGATTAAGTTAAGTTACCTAGCTAGTGACGCCAGCAGCCACCCACCAAGCAACATTGCCGTACTAATCTACCCTATGACCTGCGTACTAAGGGAAGGCAGAGTGGTGCAAGGGAAGGCAGAGTGGTGCAAGGGAAGGCAGAGTGGTGCAAGGGAAGGGAGAGTAGTGCAGGGTCAGGAGGGTGCTGGAGGGTCGTCGTGTCAATGCAAGGCCTTATGTGAGCCAGCCTTTCACAAGTCACTCTTTACTCGACTCCATTTCTTTACGCTCAATAGAGAAGGGTAAACACAAGGAACTGCCGTAATTTTTTTTTTAACATCGCTAAAAACGGTACGTAAAAAACGGCCGTTCCAAACGGTTGCACATGTGAAGAGAACTCACAAGAACTGGAGAGAAGGAAGGCAGAGGGTTGCTGGCAGCGGGCCTTCCAGCATGTTGTCAGACAAATCCCTTAACAGACATGATGCATGGCGTGGTGAGCCGCACAGAGGCATGGCAAGGATGGAGACATAGCATGGAGACATGGCTTGCAGACATGGCACGGACACATGGCATGCAGACATGGCATGCAGACATGGCATGCAGACATGGCATGGAGACATGGTATGGATACATGGTATGGATACATGGTATGGATACATGGTATGGATACATGGTATGGATACATGGTATGGATACATGGCATGGAGAGATGGCGTGGAGAGATGGTGTGGAGACATGGTGTGCAGACATGGCATACATGCATACATGGCATGGAGACATGGCATGAATGAAGAAATGGCATGCGGACATGGCATGGTAGAGATGGGGACATGGGATGGGATGGTGCAGTGAAGGCGTGCGCAGACAGACAATGATGTGGCATCGCACAGATACATGGGGAGGCGGAAGGAGCTTTGAGTCGACTCAAAACATCGCACAGATATATGGGGAGGCGGAAGGAGCACAGCACCAATGCCAATGCCGTCCTGGGATTCATAAGGCCTCACTTACAAGATGTAGAGCCGATTCATATTGCTGATAGCTGCAGGAATGGAACCAGTAAGCATGAACCGCAAGTTCCTGAAGCAATAGTGGTGTAGAGGGAAAGAGGGATGCACCTAATCACAAATCAATCAAAGCTGGAAAAGCACGATGAGACCTCTCTGAAACCCGTGCAGTCTTCTGCAGAATATTGCTACTAACAAAAATGCTTTCCGATCAACGTAACTTAACGTGCTTATGTTAAGAAGGGTGACGCCTGATTGCAAGGGGGAGGAAAACAAGGTGGAAGGAAGGAAAAAGGTGGGCCACACTAGACTGGTTGGAGCAGAGAAACTGCAGGCGCACACAAAGCAGAAGTGTGTGGGTGTGTGCCTGTGTGCGTGTGCATGTGCGTGTGCGTGTGCGTGTGCGTGTGCGCGTATGTGTATGTGTATGTGTATGTGTATGTGTATGTGTATGTGTATGTGTATGTGTATGTGTATGTGTATGTGTATGTGTATGTGTATGTGTATGTGTATGTGTATGTGTATGTGTATGTGTATGTGTATGTGTATGTGTATGTGTATGTGTATGTGTATGTGAATGTGAATGTGTATGTGTATGTGTATGTGTATGTGTATGTGTGCGTGTGCGTGTGCGTGTGCGTGTCTGTGTGCGTGTGCGTGTGCGTGTGCGTGTGAGTGTGCGTGTGCGTGTGCTTGTGCATGTGCGTGTGCGTGTGCGTGTGTGTGAGTGTGCGTGTGCGTGTGCATGACGCAGGACGCTTCGTCGAAAAAAACTGGGCAGCCCGACAAAAAAAAAAACAAACAAAAAAAAAACATTGGCCTGCGAAACTGGCATTCGCGATTTCGTCGCGTATGTCAATTTCGCGAAATCTTGACCAATTGGCAGCGATGTTGCCATGCAAAATCGCGAAGCAATGGGAGCGATTTTGCTGTTTTGCTAAAGAAAATCGCTACCAGCCCATTTTTCCCCAGCCACCACACACCACAATGCATCTCCCCCCCCAACCTTGTCGACCTGATCCCAATGTGTGAAAGTGAATCAGGTCGACATTTTGAGCTTTCTCTCCTAGTCGACCTGATTCTCTTTCAAAAACCCTAAATATAGGTTTAACTATGTGTGTGGGATTTTGGTGTTGATTTGAGATTTTATGGATAGTACATGTTCAATGTGGTTGCAATGTCCCGAAACCCCCTCTCCCCCCCTCCTAGGCGGCTTTTTACCTGCCCAGAAATTTGTTTACCCTGCCCTGCCCGGCCCAGCGTCTTTTGAGCGTCCTATACAATGACGGGAGGGCGTCCGGGACGCTGACGCGTCTTTCTCCACATAGCTGGGTGGGAGAGTTACTTGTTACATGCACCAGTGGCCATGCGTTGCAACCTGGATGCACCAGGGGGTATTTATGTATGTATTGCATCATGTATTGCATGCATGCGTGCTCCGGGGTATGAATTACAGATCTTGGAGCTGGACGAGGTCGCTGATGGAGGCAGACACCACTTGCTCTGTCTCTGTTGACCAGCTCATTGACCTGCAAGCAACTCACACGCACAACAAGAAACAGAAAAAAAAAAACCACATTCTGCCTCACTTCCATTGCACCTCCTCCTCCTCCCCCTCCCCCTCCCCCTCCCCCTCCTCTTTTGCTCACCCCTTCACGGCAACAACGATTTCAAAACATTAATCAGACGCAAATAGCCCGACACACAACACCACAAATCGCTCCAAAATTCCCACGGCACAGCTGCAGGCAAGGCTGCAGCTACGGCCCCACGGTGCATTCACACGTGACTGGCCACTCACAGGCCCTGGAGGGTGGTGAGCTTGTAGAGTGGCGATGGGATGCTTTAGCTTAAGCCTGTGAGGGGATTTGTTAGGTGCCTCACACGTGACTGGCCACTCACAGGCTCTGGAGGGTGGTGAGCTGGTAGAGTGACGACGGGATGCTTTGGCTCAAGCCTGTGATAAACCTGCCAGGGGGAGGAGGGGCGCCATGCATGAGCACGGATTGGGGTATGTGTGAGCATGCCATGCATGAGCATGCCTGGGTGCACACATGTGTCTGGATGGATGTGTGTGCGCACGTGTGCATGCGCTGAGAACAACTCAGCTTAGACACAGTAAGATCTGCAGTAATATGGTTCATTGTGCACGAAGCAGGAAAAGGTCCTGGGATTTCTGACACAAGGAGGAGGGCAATACATATATATGACGATGCCACCGCCGTCGCATGTGAGGCCTTTGGTTTCCCGACTAAATCCGTCGCAGGTAGCTGTGCTGGTCCATGTAGGAGACTCGACGAACGGGCCAGCATTGAGCAGAAACTCCTCCACTATGGGATCTGCGGCAGGAACGAGAAAACGTGGACAGGAAAGGAAGGAACAATGAGTGGTAGTGAACAGAGCGGATCAGCAAGCGCAACGCGTGGCATGGACGGGGCGGGTGCGTGCACGCGCAGTGCCACCGCAACCGTGCTACTAGGTGGATGGATGGACGCCAGCAGTGATGCGCGGCGCAGGGAGATCAAGACGCGGCGGAATCGGAGAATGGCATGGGAGAATGGCATGTGCCGGAATGCCATGCTGCTCCTGTGCTTGTGTGGCTTCTCCGCACCGTCTCAAACGGACGCGGCACACTGCACTATCAGAAGGCCTCAACGCAAAGAGCGCACTTCAGCTAGCGGGTGCCAGGCTTCCCACCCCAGGTGCTTCTGTCGCTCGCTTACACTGGGCGGCGTTGATGACAGCGGCGGCGGCTGTGAGCGAGCGCCGTCTGAGCGTTCCCAGGGGAGAGGGGGAGAGGAGGCATGGCAGTGAAGGCGGCGCCAGGAGCAGGGACAAGAGGAAGAGAGCGCGCAGCACACAAGCATGGTGTGCTGACGGTGCGAAGTGTCGCAATGACGGCACTGCTGCTGCGGCTGATGCTGCTGACTTCCCACGGCATTCCCTAGGCCTTCCTCGTAGCACTACTTCTCCCCGTCCTTTCTCCCCTTGCGCCGCGTCTGCTCCCTTGTTGCTCCGCCTCCCTCCATTCAACAGATCACGCTCCCCACACCTTCCTCCTGCCACAGGCGCCATAGCTGCGCACGCCCGTTTAATTCGCAGCGCTGCGAATCTTTCTGCACGTACGACGGCGAGGGATGGACGGACGACAGTTAGGCGATAAATTCACGTCATGTCAACGAGCGACACACGACTTCCGGGGCAGCCGTGCAGTCGGTACGAGAACCCAACACACGCACATCGACAGCATATCGCAGCTTCTCGATGAAATCAAATCCCTCAAAAATCAATGTATTGTAATACTATCTCGCTAATACCTCACCTCATGCCTCAACCGCGTTGTTTCAGCGTGAGAAGCGGGCCACGCTGACACGCTGAAACGGCTAAGCTGGAGTAAGACTATACGCACTGTGCTGTCTAGTACTACAGTACTCCGTACATTCTTCTACTGTTCTGCAGCACAGAGGTTGCTTGCGTGCCTGGCAGGTCAAGCCTGCATCTCTCCAGGGCAACAGGTGCAACCGTTCCAAGTTCTTCATAAAAGACGTGACCGTAGCGCTACCCTCGTAAACAGTTGCTGACTGTGGTGGTACAACCAGCCAGGAGTGAACAATAGAATTTGCCACAGACATGATGCAATATCTCGTTTATATATACTTTTGGGAAAGCATACAATTAATGCTCTTGCAAGACACAAACGGTTTGGCCACAATGCTCCTAAATCAAGCAAGTGCGATTCAGGGGCAAAACGTAGCTAGAGAAATGAATGAAAGAGGGCGAAATAATCGGGGTGGTAAAGGAGGGGAGTGAATGTGCGACGGAATTATTGTAAAAAAAACGAGAGCACAATATGGAAACGCACCACGGCAAAAGATCTACCGCCTATCACCGGCCGGACCGAGCCTCTACACATGCATATCCTGTCAAAACATATACTTCTCTTCATTTCACTCTAGGTTGTGTAGGGTTTATTCCTTAGAGGGTACAACCCAAATTCCCTCGATAGTCTTGTACCCCTCCCCCTTACCTAATCGACATTCTCACCTAGCTAGTGATTCTAACATGGTATTAAGAGCAAAAAGCTCCTTAGGACCGAATTTTTAAAAGGGCCCACCACTACTATTTCGATCTACTGCCCGAGTCGCGCCCCTAGGAGAAAAGCGAAATGCGAAAACGTGCCCTAGGCGAAACGGTTCATTTTTCTGCCCTAGGCGCGATTTTTCTGCCTAGTCACGTGCGACCCCCCCCCTGACCGCGCCCTAGCTGCCCCGTACGCCACTCGCGCGGCCCGTCAGCCCCTACGCCCGGTCCCCCCCTCGTTCCTGCTGCTACGCGCGCCACTCACGCTACCCGCCAGCCCCTAGCGCGCACCTGCTGCGTGCCCCTTGTAGAGCTGCCCCGCGCGCACCTGTTGCGCGCCCCTGGTTTGCACGCCCACAGCCAACGCGCGCCTACTGCTACTACGCGCCGCCCAGCCCGAGCTGTCCCTGCTGCTGCTACTGACGCTACTGCTGCTACAGCTAGCACTACTCACTGCTGCTGCTACTGAAGCTAGTGCTGCTACAGCTAGTGCTACTCCTGCTGCTGCTACTACGGCACTTGCTACAGCTGCTACTGACGCTACTGCTGCTACAGCTAGCGCTACTCACTGCTGCTGCTACTGAAGCTCCTGCTGTTACAGCTAGTGCTACTGCTGCTGCTGCTAGTACGGCACTTGCTACTGCTGCTACTGACGCTACTGCTGCTACAGCTAGCGCTACTCATTGCTGCTGCTACTGAAGCTAGTGCTGCTACAGCTAGTGCTACCCCTGCTGCTGCTACTACGGCACTTGCTACAGCTGCTACTGACGCTACTGCTGCTACAGCTAGCGCTACTCACTGCTGCTGCTACTGAAGCTCCTGCTGCTACAGCTAGTGCTACTGCTGCTGCTGCTAGTACGGCACTTGCTACTGCTGCTGCTGCTTCGCTGCTGCGCCTGAACTGCTGCTGCAGTGCTGCTGCCGCCTGCACTGCCCTGCTACTGCTGCTGCTACTTGCTGCAGCTGCTCCTCCTTGCTGCTGCTACTTGCTGCAGCTGCTCCTCCTTGCTGCTGCTACTTGTTGCAGCTGCTCCTCCTTGCTACTGCTGCTGCTACTTGCTGCAGCTGCTCCTCCTTGCTGCTGCTGCTGCTGCTACTTGCCGCTGCTGCTCCGCCACTGAGCCCGAACCGCGCCGCCCTGTCCGAGCCGCGCCGCCCAACCTGGGCTGCACCTACTGCTGCTACAGCTAGTGCTACTCGGTCTACTGCTGCTGCTGCTGCTGCTGCCCGAGCCGCCCTGCTACTGCTGCTGCTGGAGGGAGTACTGCTGGGAGTGGTGGAGGTGCGGCCTCCCAGCCCCACCGAACCGCCCTGCTGCTGTTACTACTGCTGCTGCTGCTACTTGTGCTACTGGGAGTGGAGGAGGTGCTGCTGGGAGTGCAGGAGGTGCTGCTGGCGCTGTAGGAGTTGGAGGTGCTGGAACTACTCCTGACAGTCACTGTCTGTCATGGCCACTTCCGCGGCAGTTGCTGCGGCCAGGGGTGGACAGCAGCAGGCACTGCTTCTCCCGGACGACCCCACCCCTCGGCAGCTTCGTGAGTGGGTTATTCAGCGAGGTCGTCCTGGTGGTGGAGGTTATCGTTCTGTTAGGACCGCTGCTCCAGGTGTTAGCGAGTCTGCTGCCACTCCAGGTGCTAGTGAGTCTGCTGCCGCTCCAGGTGCTAGTGAGTATGCTGCAGCTCTAGGTGCCCGTGAGTCTACCGACGCTCTAGGTGCTAGTGCGTCTACTACCACAGGTCCTGCCTCAGCTGAGGTCTTGCACGCTTTCACGCTTGACTCAGGCGCGTCACGTTGCTTCTTCCGTGATTGCACCACAGTCACACCACTCATAGCACCTGTCCTAGTCTCACTGGCTGACCCCTCTGGGGGCCCAGTGGTTGCGAGAGCCTCCACGGTCCTCCCTTGTCCAGCAGTCCCCTCCGGCTCTTTGTTAGGTCTCCACCTCCCCACGTTCTCGACGAACTTGGTGAGCAACGCTGCCATTCAGGATGTCTGGGTTGATACCTTTATTCCTGGAGGGCAGCGTGTGGCGATCTGTACGTGCTCCCGGACTGGCCGTCACCTGGCTACGTTCACTCGACAGCCTGGGTCTAGTCTGTACACACTGACCACTGCGTCTGCACAGGTGGCTGAGTCAGGTCAGGTAGCTGCGTCGAGTCGAGCGTCTGAGTCAGGGCAGTTAGCTGCGTCTTGCTCGTGTAGAGTACTCACGCACGAGACTCAGCGCTGGCACCACCGTCTTGGTCACCCCTCCCTGCAGCGCCTGCGCGGCATGCACTCCCGGCTCCTGGTCACTGGCCTCCCTGAGACCATGCCCCCCCTCCCGCGCTCACTTGCGCCGCCGTGCCTTCCTTGCGTCGAGGGGCGGCAGCGCGCCGCTCCTCATTCCTCCGAGTTTCCTCCGACCACTGCTCCTCTGCAGACTCTCCACCTGGACGTGTGGGGCCCGGCCCCCGTCGGTGTTACGGACCAGGAGCGCTACTTCCTGCTGGTTGTTGACGACTACACACGCTACACCACAGTCTTCCCCTTGCGTCGCAAGGCGGACGTCAGCGGTGTTTTGATCCCCTGGATCCGTGCTACTCGTCTCCAGCTACACGAGCGCTTTCAGCAGGACTTCCCAGTCCTGCGTCTGCACTCTGACAGGGGTGGTGAGTTCTCTTCTGGCGTCCTTGAGACGTTCTGCCAGGATGAGGGCATCGCCCAGTCGTTCACGCTTCCGGCCTCTCCGCAGCAAAATGGGATCGCTGAGCGTCGCATTGGCCTGATCATGGAGGTTGCTCGTACCTCCATGATCCATGCGGCTGCTCCCCATTTCCTGTGGCCGTTTGCGGTCCGATACGCCGCGCATCAGCTCAACCTCTGGCGCCGTGTCTCTGCTCCAGAGACCTCGCCCACACTTCGTTGGACGGGACAGCCTGGTGATGTGTCGTCGTTTCGGGTCTGGGGCGCGCTCTCCCTTATTCGCGATACCAAAGCGAGCAAGCTCTCTCCTCGCACTCTCCGCTGTGTCTTCCTGGGCTTCCCCACCGACGCTCCACCCTGGCAGGTCTACCACCCTGCCTCGCGTCGTGTTCTGTCCTCTCAGGACGTCACCTTCGACGAGTCGGTCTGTTACTACCGACTTCACCCGCACGCGTCCCACCCGGTCCCCCTTGCACCCCTCTTCCTGGTACCAGTCCCCCCCCGGTAGACCCCCTTCCCCCACAGGGTCCTGCTCCCTCAGGTGTGTCCCAGGTAGACCCACCCCCCTTGGATGAGCCAGTTGAGATCTCTTCTGACTCCTCTGACTCACCTGAGGGGGGTGACGCCGTCGCCGACGACACGGCGACCACTCGCCGCACTCCTCGCTTTGAGACCCCCCCGGGTTTCCCGCCACGGCCGTCTTCGCCGCTTCCGCAGCCTGCTGCTGTGGACTCTGGAGCTGAGACTTCTGGAGCTGGGGCTGGGGGTGGTGAGTCTGGGGGTGCCCGCTCTCCTCGTCTGGCTACCCCCCCCGGGTTCCCACCTCTGCCGTCTTCGCCGCCTCTGCAGCCTGCTGCTGTGGACACTGGAGCAGAGACTGAGGGTACTGAGCCTGGGGGTGCTGGGACTGAGGGTACTGAGCCTGCGAGTGCTGAGACCGAGAGTCCTGACTCTGGGGGTGCTGTGAGTTCGGGTGCTGACTCTGGGGGTGCTGCTAGTGCTGGAGGTCGTGGAGCTGCTGGTGCTGGAGGTACTGGAGGTGCTGCTTGTGCTGGAGGTCGTGGAGCTCCTGGTGCTGGAGGTGCTGCTGGGGCTGGAGGTGCTGGAGGTCCTGGTGGAGGTACTGGAGGTGCTGCTGGTGCTGGAGGTCGTGGAGCTGCTGGTGTTGCTGGTACTGGAGGTGCTGCTGGTGCTGGAGGAGCTGGAGCTGCTGGGGCTGGAGGTGCTGGAGGTGCTGGAGGTCCTGGTGGAGCTACTGGTGCTCTTCGCCACCTTCTCAGTCTTCAGTCAGGTGCTACTGGCTTCCCTGT